CCTCTGTTGACTTGGCCGCTGTGGGTGCCCAGAGAACGCCTGATTCCCCGTGACCTGGTTCGCAGCTTTGCCTTCATCCCACCTCCCTCCTGCCTCCTTAGTTGAACATCCAGTGTCTCCTGCTTGCTCCTGGCAGCTAAGGCTCACCGTGCATCTAGCAATGTCAACTCCAGCCCCTTCCTCTGTGTATGAACTAACAGCTCAGCATGTGCAAACTCCGTTGCGGGGGAGGAAGAAGGCAAGCCAAAGAGGTGGGTTGGACTGTGGTGTCAGGAGGATCTTGATGAGCTTGAGCGGGAGGCTCCGCTGAGCTGCCAGCCTGGAGGGTGGTCGCTGGTACCCGAGACCAGTGGCACAAAACTCTGTCCCTGCTCCTCTCCTGTTTCTCATTTTTATCTCACCTCCTGGATGAAGACAAGAAATATACACTTATCCTATTTCCGGATGACACACACGAGGAGAGAGCTCATTCATCAGATGATCACATCGAGATCCAAACAGCTCTCAGAAGGAACCAGAAGGATGGCCTGATACCAAGAAAATAAGATTTAACAGTGATGCATTCTAGTCTTAAGTTTGAGCAAAAGTCCATGAACATTTAGCGTTGTGCTGGCAGCATGAGGCAGCCCACGGCGCGGGCAGCAGTGACCCACCTTCCTGAAGGATAAGGAAGCACTTTAATCTGTGAACCGACTGGCTGTGGGTTGAGCTGGCTTGTGAGGGCAGTGGGTGCTCTATCCAATCCCGGGTGGCACGCCATCCCTGTTGGAAGGATCTACAGGGGACTTGTGGGCAGGGGAGGAAAGGAAAGGAATTCTGATTGATGGCCTATGTCAGGCACTTTATCTCCACTAACTTACTTAATCTTCACCACATTTCTGTTCGGAGACACCGCATTTCATTGATTCTAAGACATACATTTTTCCCCTCCATTTAACATTTCTGAGATTGGGATACAGATTTACAATCTGTCAGCCAGGTGGCAGAGTCAGCAGGTGGTGGGAAACCCTTCGTTGACACCTGCTGGTAAGATCAGGAAGCACCGCAGCCTCAGTTCCATGCGGATCTATTGCAGAGACCAGGCATCAGGGCTGGAAGGACATGAGCCTGGCATTTCCACTGTGCCACATGGGCACTAACCTGCCGGCTCCACACTGTTCCCGGATAAGCTACCCCCAAATCACCTGTGAGGCCGGAAAACCATCAGATCGTGGGGTCTCCCGTAGATACTCTGACTCTGTAGATAGGAACGGGGCCCAGGAGTCTGGCTTTTAACTGTCCCAGAGCATGCTGACCCCGGGCAGGCCGGGAGCCACTGGAATTGGTGACTGCTCACTGGTCTCAGGTAAAATTTGGATGTGTGTCAGCACAGTGGCTTTGATCCCGTGTGCTGCAGCACCTGGGTCACAGTGCTGTCCTGGCCCCACAGAGGAGGCGCCAGCTGAAAAGCCCTCAGCCCACGAGGAAAGCTCAGCAGCCTCCATTTGACTTCCCTCCATCGAGGCCGAGGGGCGGGCTCACTGACCTCTGCTTCCTCTCCCCAGGGAAGGGAGATCTGATCGGCTGTGAGCTGCCCCGGCGTGAGCAAGTGGTCAAGGCCAATGCCGACGTGAAAGGGCTGACGTACTGCGTCTTGCAGTGTCTGCAGCTGGCTGGGCTGCACGAAAGCCTGGCACTGTACCCCGAGTTTGCCCCACGCTTCAGCCAGGGCCTCCGAGGGGAGCTCAGCTACAACCTGGGTGCTGGCGGAGGCCCCACAGAGGTGAGGATGCTGGGTATGTGCATGGATGAGGCTGGGGTACCAGGGAGCCTGGGGAGGGGAGCAGAGGCTGGGGTTTTTGGAGGTGCTGTGTTAGTGCATGGCCTGGACGAACACCCCCGCACATGGTAGGGGCCTACACTCTCCCTGCCCCTTCACACCCACACTCTGTCCTTTAGAGCCCAGCCATGCTCAGCCACTGCGCCGTTTTCCGGGCATCCAGGGTGAGGTCTTAGGGGAGGGCCCCCGAGCCCACTGGTACCAGAAAAGGAGCCTGGAGGCCGAGAGGAGGGATGGTGTCAGAGGGCGGGGCAGCGGCTACACACAGCCACCGGGCCACCTCTGAAGAAAGCCCTGCATCTGTCCCACTTCTTCACCATGAAATAAAACTGACTTATGTCACAAATTCCAAACCAGTTTTTAGTGCTGTGTTCTCTTAGACAGTTCAGTTAGCCTAAGGGACCAAGCCACACTTGGCTAGAATTTTGAGGGGCTTAGTGGCTTTTGGTGACAGCAGGAAAGCAGCCCTCCCCTCCCCCAACTAAGCTTCTTCCTCAATGGGGTGAGGTCAAGGGGAGGTCAGGGTGGGGGAGGTGAATGGAGCATAAGAGAAGCCGTTCCCTGGCCCCCACTGTTTGCAGGCGGACACCAGCTCCCTGAGTGGCGGCGACACCCTCATGTCCACACTGGAGGAGAAGGAAACAGATGGGGAGCAGGGCCCTGCGGCCTCACCAGCCCCAGCTGATGAACCCTCCAGCCCCCTGCTGTCCCCAGGCTGCACCTCCTCATCCTCCGCCGCCAAGCTGCTCTCCCCACGCCGAACCGCACCCCGGTCCCGTCTGGGTGGCAGAGGGCGGCCAGGTAGGGCAGGGACTGAAGCTGGCCCCTCTGCACACCCTCGGAGCTTAGAGGGGCTGCAGCTGCCCCCTGTGCCATGGAATGTGCCCCCGGATCTGAGCCCCAGGTGAGCAGGCGCTGGGCCACTGCCCTCCGGCAGAGATAGTGCTGATTGGACCAGGGCCCCGGCCACTCACACCCCTGCCCCGGGTGCCCCTCCCTCCACCCTAACCCTCCCAGCCTCCTCCGTTGACTCCTCCGTTTCCCGGCTGCCCCTCATCCCCCACCCATATAAGCACACGCTCTAACCGACTACTACGCCTCTGTAGTTCCCATACCTCCCATTTAGAACTCAGCTCAGAACCCTCCTGCTGTTTCATGTGTCAATCTTGGGTCCCCAGTGAAACTGCAATCTCCTAGGAGAAGGGACATCTCATATTACCTTTCTCTTGGGGTCCCAAGCCCCCGTCCTGGCTCCAGGGTCCTGTAACTTCTATATGAGGACACTGGGGTGTCTTGTCCCAAGAAAACACTGCAGTGGTTATCTGTCGATTTACTGTCCTGGTGCCTGTGTCCACAGGGTAGTAGATGGCATTGAGGATGGCTGTGGCTCCGACCAACCCAAATTCTCCTTCCACATGGGGCAGTCTGTCCCAGAATGTAGCAGTAGCTCCTCCCCTGGACCAGGTACTGGGACCCGGTGCTTGGGGGAAGGTTGGCAGGGCACTCCCTTTGCCCTGTGACCCTCTGAGAACCAACAGGATACAGAGGTTGCCTAGAAGCCCTCCTCCCCTCACCCACTGCATGGTATGAGCAGGGAGTTTGGTGGTTAAGACCAGCACCTTGGTGTTGGAGGGTGGCTGGGAGTGGGGTTTGGAGCTCTGCTGTCAGCTCTCCAGCAGTGTGACCTTGGTTCTTGCCTCAGCTTCGGTCTGTAAAATGGTTGTGTGCATGCTAAGTAAGATAATGTTGCTAAGATCCCTAGCACATCTTCTGGCTCACTGGCAGGGTAGAGGGCTAAGGCAGAGTTAAAAATGGCCCCCAGCCAAGCCATGCAGCCCTGGGTGTGGACCAGGTAATGAGCTCCCAGGAGCGTCCATGTCCCTGGAGGACAGAACAAGAGACAGAAAGCAGCTTCCTGGGGAGAAGGCATGGGGCAGGGTGTCCGAGGTCCCTTGGCAGTTTGGGCAGAATTCGTTAACTTGGGCCCTTTCTGTACTAACTGGGGCAGAGGCCTGGACCCTGGCTAGTAACCTCATCCTACGGTCCACAGAGAACAGCCTGCTTACCCTCCCCCTCGGACCCAGTGAGGCGAGTAACACAGACACGCTGGACAAGCTTCGGCAGGCTGTGAGTGAGGGCAAAAGGGGAGGGGGGGCAGGGAGGCTGCTGTTGTGTAGGTCCTGACTCCTCTGACCTTCCCTCTTCCCTCCGTGAAGGTGATGGAGCTGTCTGAGCAGGTGCTGCAGATGCGGGAGGGACTGCAGTCCCTACGCCAGGCAGTGCAGCTCCTCCTGGCGCCCCACAGGGAGGGCCCATGCCCTCAGGCATCAGGCGAGGGGCCACCCCCAGCCAGCACCTCTGGACTCTTGCAGCCTCTGTGTGTGGACACTGGGGTATCTTCCTACTGTCTGCAGCCCCCAGCTGGTTCTGTCTTGAGTGGGACCTGGCCACACCCTCGTCCGGGGGCCCCTCCCCTCATGGCACCCTGGCCCTGGGGTCCCCCAGCATCTCAGAGCTCCCCCTGGCCTCAAACAACAGCTTTTTGGACCTCCACCTCTGACTCAGAGCCACTGGGCTCAGGAGAACTCTGCCCAGAGCCTAGCACCCCCGGCTCGCCGCCTCCTGAGGAAGAGGCTGGGACTGAGCCCCTGGATCCTGGGAGCCAGGCGGAGGCTGCCAGCACTGGAGAGCCCCCGCCAGGGTCAGGGGGCCTGGCCTTGTCCTGGGAACCCCACAGCCTGGAGATGGTGCTTATTGGCTGCCATGGCCCTGGCACAGTCCAGTGGACCCAGGAAGAAGGCACAGGGGTCTGACTGCCAGCCCCAGAACTCACTGTTGCCAGACATGCTGCCATCTGCTGCTTTGCCCATCGTGGGGATAGAGGAAGAGTGGCAGCCACCGCAGGGACTCCGGGCTGCTGCTGGCTCAGGGCAGGAGCTGAGAGCCACGGAAGGCCTGGCCCTGGGCTCTCATGGAGGGTGGGCTGGAGCCTCAGGGACAGGCCCCAGGCTAGTTGTCTTCTGGCCTCTTCTTGTGGGTCCCCCCCTCAGCCTGCTCCTCTGACCTCCTTGTCTCCTGGGAGACAGAGGCTGAGGCCCAGGAGGGGTTCTGCCATCCCCTGCATGTGCCCCTGACTCACCCGTCCCACATTTTTTATATTAAATGGTAATAAAGAAACTACTTTGGAACTCAGTGCTTTTTACTTACAAAAGAAAAGTAATACAGTAAAAGTCTGAAGCTAATCAGCTGGAGACACAGGGATTAGGAGTCCAGGGAGAGGGGAGGTGGTCTGCTGAGAGAAGGGGAGGGGCTCTGGCTCTAAGGGAGCTGCAGAGTCCCAGCCCCTAGGGGTTCCTGAGGGCCAGCCCCGTACCCTCTCCCCCGCCCCACCCCGGCAAAGGCTCAGATCAGTGGGCTGTCATTGGTCTCTCGCTACCCACTGGTTTTTCCAGGAGCCCGAGTTCCCAGCTCTAGGTAGGGAGCTGGAATGGCAGGCGAAACTGAGGCCAGAAAGCCCATGGGTCCTGCCACCACGCCTCACTGTGGGGTGATCTTGGCAGCCTCAGCCCGGATAAGGGCAATGAGGTCCTGGTTGATGAGGAAGACGAATCGCAGGCTGGCAATCTATAGGCAGGAGAGAAGGGGGGCTGAGGACAGAGGTGGGGCCACCTATTGGCTCACCACACCCCAGGCAGGTCTCAGTGTGGCCTCTCCACCTCCTTCCCAACTCACCTCCACCACGGAGTTATTGCTGAGGCGCCATTTGGAGCCACACAGCACCGGCCGGCCGTCGATATAGATGGGCCGCCGACCTTCATTGGCAATGAAGAAATCACCGTTGTTTTTCAGTTTGATGACACCTATGGAACAGAGAAGAAAAAGAGGATGGTGTGGTGGGGGAAGACCAGAAAAAAGCCCAAAGCCCCCATGTACCCTCTCTGATTCTTGGGGGTGGGCTAGAAGGCACCCAGGACTCCCAAATTAGAGATCTTGAAATGCCAGCTCATCCATGAGAGTTTCCACAGAGACCAAGCCCCACGGCTGCAGAGGGCAGTGAGAAACCAGGAGAGACATCCTCACTGCTTCCTGTCGGTACCTTGCTTCCGGGAGATCTTCCAAGCTGGACCCTCCAGAGACAGGTCCACGTCAATCTGGTTATCCTTGGTTGCCCTCCCCAGGGTGATCTGGGGAAATGGAGCAGGTGAGGGCCAGCAGCTGAGGATTGGGGGATGGGTCCACACAGGCCAGGGAAAGATGAGAAATGAGGGACCAGACACAGAAAGGACATGAGGGGAAGACTGATGGAGAAGGGAAATAGGAGGGGGGGACGGGAATGGGATGGAGCGGGGCCTGCCTTACCTCTCTCGAGCGCATCAGGTACCGCACCATGCGGCCCCGTAGCACTGCCAGCGTCTGGTTGTCGAAGTCCGGAGAGCTCATGCCTGGGGAGGAGCAGCTCGTGTGGGGGAGAGCCCACCCTTTAGGGCTACAGGGCAGGAGGCAGGGAGCCAGGGCAAGGTCTACTGAGGGAAAGGAAGGTGCACCTAGCCAGGCAATCCTGGTCCCCCGGCCTCCTCACCTGTGATGCTATCTACGAGCACCTGCCACTTGTGCAATTCCTGTTCCAGCTGACGAATCTCTCGCTTCTGGCGCCGGTCAGCCACTGTCAGCTCTGGGGTGAGTTGGGGTGGTAAGGAGGGACACACCAAAGTCACTAGCACCTGGTACTGGTCCGCTGTGTTCAGGCAGGAGCTTCCACCCCCTTACTGTCCCCACCAGAGCACACTCACCATGTTCCAGGACCTCATCTCGCATGTCCCTGGGAGGTGAGAAGAGAAGAATGAATGAGGTTCCACTTCCAGCTCACCTGCCATCACCATCAGGTACTCCTCAGCTCATTAGGACCTCCCTCAGCCAGTTAGCCCAGCGGCCCAGGAGGCTGCTTCTCTGGTCTCGGCCTAGCCTTCTCCTGGGGACCTGGAGGTGTAAGGTGCTGTGGGAGTGTGAGGGTTGAGCAGAGAGACCAGGTGCCCATTGCTACAACTGGAGCTTGAGGCTGCACCTGGGCTGAGCTCTGTTCTCAGCAGCAGGAGTGGTAGGGCCATGTACCTGAGCACTCTGCCCCAGGGGGAACACCCTGCTGTGGGCCCAGCCACTCACTTGAGCTTACTGTCATCAATCAGGTCCTCTGCATCGGAGAAGTTCAGCACCTGGTCCCCCTTGGGCAGCGGCTGCACTGAACAAAGGACGGAGGGAGGGTTAGCACCGAAGCTACTACTCAGCCTCCAGCTGCGGAGCAGACCACTGAACTGAGGGGACACACTGCCTAAGGCACTCACATTTTATCTCTTTAATCTAAAGCTCAGCTCAAAAGCAGGCTAGAGGGGCAGATGGCCCAGTATCATTTTCCCAGAAAGGGAAACCAAAGATTTTCAAACAATTTGCCCAAAGTCCCAGTGAAGTGAACAAAAGTTAATCCAACACAGGTAAGGAGTGCATGTCGGATTAGGCTGCTTGCTAATCTGGCACAAAGCATGCCTGGGGTTAATGGAGGGCAGAGGCGCTTCTGCAAAGGGAAGGGAATTAAGTTTGACCTTTCGTGTGGGCTTTTTGGTGTGTGAAGGGCTCTCACACAGCCTTGAACTAAGTAGAGAAGGCACTGCTCTTAGTTCCATTTTACAGATGAGGAAATGGACACAGGAGGAAAGGTTCATCTATGAGACTCTAGTTTAGGACAGAACCAAGATTCAAGCTCTGCTTTCCTGATTCCAAACCAAAAAACCAAAGCATCACATGCTCCTGAACATTTTCTGCCGCCCTCAGCGAGGGGCTGAGGCACAGCCCATTTAGAAAGGATGTGCTAGAAGGAGTTACCCGACCCTAACCAGTGTTTTTCAAACTGTGAGTCATACCGTGTTAATGAGTCGTGAAATTAGTTTCATTTTTTCCAAAAATGAGATGAAAATAGAATAATATCAGAGCACATTAGATATGTTCAGGATAAATATTGTTTCATGCAAGTTTCTCAGTTTTTCTAGTCAAAATGTGAAAGGGACCCGGGCCTCCAAAATCTGAGAACTGCTGCCTTAAGGCTGGCTCTTCCCACGATTCCAAGTGTCTGTTCAGTAGCAGCTCCCACTAGCTGGTGGCTGTGGAACTGTTGGTTGAGGGTCTGACAATACTGGGTGTCCTCACTCCCTGCCAAACGCTCCCTCCACCACCACACTGGCCTCCTCAGGTCAGACTGTGTGGGGAGATGGTTGGGGTGGTCACTGCCACCAAGTCCCTCCCCCACCACAGCTGCCTGAAATTCCACCAACCTAATATTCAACTGACTTAACAACTAAGCAGAGTACATTCCCTGTTCCTAAGGACTCCTAGCTCTAAATAGCAAAGAGAAATCAAATACCCACATAAGAACTCTTGGAGAGAAAAATTAAACCTTTAAATTAGCAAATAAGTTTACACAAATAACTTTCAAAATAGTGACAAAGGAGCTAGCTATAATAGCAAAAATAACTTTATCCAGTCTCCACTCTCTCTGGGCATTCAGTGATATTTGGGCCGGAGGAAGCAGATTTGGATGCTGCAGGAATAAAGTGGGCTGCCTGCTGGGCACTAAATTCAGAGATCCTTGGGAAAGAACGATGGGCCTCCCCCTGACAAGATTCCCTAAAATCCTCTCATAGGAACGTCTTTAAGTAGCCAGAGCTGCAGGCCCAGATGGTAAAGTGAAGGGCATGGCCAAAGTTTCCTTTTCACAACAATGTGAACAACAATGTAGAAGGCAACGGGCAGTAACGTTTAGGAAGAGCTGCGTGTGCTGCATTATGCAAATCTGACGCTGAATCTCAAATCCAACTGAAGCGTTTCCTGCAGTTTAATCAGACTGCTTTCCTGATCTCTCACTAGGAGTGAGAGTTTTACCACTGAGGGAAGAGATGGAGCAGGGAGCATCCTGGCCCTTGGGGAAGAAGGACAAAAGGACCGGATGTGAAGTCCCAGTGGGGGTTCTGAATGGCCCAAAGGCAGCCTGGCAGCACTGACTGTTGGTGGGAGGAGAGGCAGTGAGTGAAAGGTGAAGAGAGGGAAGGGCATCATCTCTTAGATGGGAAATGGGGAAGGGTGAGCAGTGAGGGAGATGTTCACATTTTGCTCATACCTGAATGTTATTCATGAAGATTATATTAACGTATTATTTATCCTATATAATAAAAGCCTAATATGCTAAGTGTCCTGTCATCTGGTTGGCTGGTCAACCAATCAAAGTGTAATATGCTAATGATATGCTAAGGCTCCTCAACTGCTTGCCATGATGAGCACTGACCACCAAGGGACAGTCGACCAGTCAAGCCAGTTTCGGCCCAACAGCAGAATGACCGCTCACTATGATGCGCATTGACCACCAGGGGGCAGACACTCAATGCAGGAGCTGCCCCCAGTGGTCATTTCGCCTCCTACAGGGGGAGCACTTCTCAGCCAGAAGCTGGGCTCACAGCTGGCGAGTGCAGTGGCGGTGGTGGAGCCTCTACCACCTCCGTGGAAGGGCTAAGGATGTCTGACTGCCAGCTTAGGCCCACTCCCCATGGAGTGCGCTTAAGCTCCGTTAGTAGGATATCCCTTGAGGACTCCCAGACTGCAAGAGGGCACAGGCAAGGTTGAGGGAACCCCCAAGTGCATGAATTTCATGCACCGGGCCTCTAGTGTAATTATAAAATGCCAAAACCCAAACAAACAAAACCAGAAATGATAGACAACTGCCATCTAGACATTTTGCCCAGGATTCCAAGCAATTTTGGCTGAAATTACCCTTGCCATGAAGCTGAAGACCATTCCAGCTACTGTCCCTCCCTCTAGAAAGAAGTGGCTTTTGCTGCAAAGAGAGGTGAACCAGACACTGGGAGCCACTGAGGAACTACAGGGCACGTGAAGGCAACTGTGCTCACAATACTCACACACGCAAACCCACTCTGCCAGTTCATGGGGCCAGTTACCTGTCTGGTCCTCCAGCAAGTAATACTGCTTCATGAGCTGCCAGTGGGCCTGCAGAGCCTTGGCAGTACGGGCCAGGTAGAAGGCATCAGGGTGTCTGTGCAGCAGGTCCTGGAAGGTCTCCAAGGTGGGCTGGCTGGTCTGAAGGGCAAGAAGCATGCTCTCTCTAGGCACCTAGGTTTTCTCACTCCTGCCTTTCCACCACACCCTTGCCCACCCCCAAGCCATTCCCACCAGGAGCCGGAAGAAGCTATGGCTGTCCAGGGAGCCGGGCTCGCCTCTTCCTGAGTACAAGGGTGTGTGGATCTGCACAAGCATGTCTCCAGCAGTGGGTTCTCCCCACATCAGTTTTCTAGTTCAGCGGTCACCAACTGGTGGTCTGCAGACCACTGGTGGTCCATGAGGTCCGAAAGGTTGATGACCGCTGTTCTAGTTAGTCCAGTTCCCACCCTGCCCAGCCCCTTCATCAACCTTACTAGCCCTCATCCTTACCGATCCCACTTTGCTGAGCAGCTGTTCCTCAGCCTTGCTGAACAGGGCCTTGCTCTGGATGGCAGCAATGGCCTCTGGGTGCAGCTGCCTCATGGCCTGGCAGGCCAGCCTAGGCAGGGAGGAGACAGGTCAGGACAGTGTTGAAGGGAGGGTGTTAAGCAATCTAAAGTTCCTATTTCCCCCAAAGCCTGCAGGACGAGAGGCCAGGCCCTCAGTAGGAAGAGCCCAAGGCTTAGCATGGTCTCATGGGTTTGTCCAAAGTATGAACAGGCAACTCAAGAAGCCAAGTCCTTGTGTTCAACCCAGTGAAGAGATTCAAAGACACAGCCCGCTTGGGGCCAGTCCCGAGGAAGATCCTAAATCCAGCTGAGGCTCTCTCACCAAGATCTTTGTCCTTGGCCAAAGCTGCCACCCATTAGCCACTGCCCAGCACTTCCTCTTTCTCACACTGAGCCCTGCCTGTTTCCTGGTATATCAGGACCATGGCTAAAGCTTAAGTAGTGCCAGTGGCTATGGAGTAGAAGACAGGTGTTAAGCATCCAAACAAATTTGGATGACATTAAATGAAGTAACTGAGGAAGAAGAGTGTGTGGTGCATGTGTGCACAGGTTTATTTGGAGCTCGGGGTGCTAAAATTAGAAGGAATTGTGGGTGATCTGTGTGAAAAGGTTGGGAGGTGACTTGCCTCAAACCACAATGCACACAGTGGTGGAACCAGGGCTCCCCTCATTCATGTGGGTGTTTTCTCCTCGTCTATTTCCTTGACTTCTAGATCCCCTTGCTCCTGATATCAAGCCAGAACTAGCAGGGTTGGCAGCAGGAAGAAGCTTCCCTCTAAAGCTTGAGGATGCAAGGGCCCAGGAGCCCTGCCTCCCGGACCCCCTCTTTGGGCCCTTATACAATTCTCTTGTTCCAGGGGCCATATTCTGGTATCCCCCTTCCTTCTCCCCTGCTGGAGCCAGCCCCACTCACTTGGAGATGACAGGATCGTAGAGCAGGGCGTACCAGCGCTCCTGGACTTCCCGAAGGGTGAAGCGGCAGCTGAACTTCACACCCAGGTGGACTGACGTCAGGTCATTGGTCTGCAAGGCCCCAGAGGGGTTTGCTTCAGCCTTACCGCTAGAAAGAAACCCTTCCCTTGCCACCCACAGGGCACTACCGGGCTAGTTGGGGGACAACCGGAGGCTGGGGGAGAAAGTGCTCCAGGAAAACTGGTGGGAGGCACTACCTGCAACACAGCGTTGATGAGCAGGAGGTCATCAGCAGGCTTCCAGCGGCCCAGATCCTTGGTCACCTGAAGTGGCTGTTTGCTCTTTTTTACTCGCTTGGTGATTCCAGGAGTGGGGGCTGGGCTGGGCGGCACAGGAGTGCTGGGGGCCTTGGACACCTGGGCAGAGGACAAGAACACAGTGAGCTCAAAGCCAGTATCAGGGCAGCTGGTCTTCAAGTGACAGCCCCAGCCCCACTCAACAATAAGCAGCATAGGCAGGGAGCTAGTTTTCTAACACCTGTTCCTACCAGAGCACTTCTACATAGTCCTTGACCATATGGGGTCTCTCTTTGCTGGTGGCACCCCCAACCCCAGAGTGGAGGGTGGGTAGAGAGGATACCAGGAAAGCACTCTTACTGGTACAGTGTCTGGGGCCAGAGCAATGCCACCTGGGGATTATTTTTACAACCAGCAATGCTGGGAACAGGCTGTCTGCTCCCAGAATAGATGCATGCTCCATGCCTCCCACACAGAATGTGATACAGGATGCATTGAAGGGGGGGGGGGG